TCTTACCTTTAAATTTTATAAGAGGTCAGTTCACTCTAATTTTTAAGTTAACGGAGCTACACGTGTTCTGCTGAGCGAAAAATGTACCATGTTACGCATTTGTAAGACGGAGACAACCCATGCGGGTATCACGTACTCTTAAGATTAAATATGAACGAATATATAACAGATAAATATAGTATTTTTATTAAACGTTTTCGATATGTACATATATTGTTTTCCATTTATGAGAGGTAATTTTTAATTTGGTACCAGTTTATTGTGTCCACGTCCACTGTTATGAGTGTCCACTACTAAGAGGTTATAACTCCTATTATGCGCATATATTTTTKCCGGGGAATTTAGAAGTGTCCACTATTGGGAAGGGTCCACTATTGAGAGGTGTCCATTAATAGAGGTTTCACTGTAATCAATAGTTAAATAACGATATAATATATTAGCMTACCCGTTTCATTATTGAAATTTAATATTTATGATGTATACATCGAATAATGTTCTGCGTGGACCTATGAATGTATGCTGACATACTGTTATCCATCAGGGTTTGTAAAAAGTCAAAAAATAATATTTTTTAGACAGTTATTTTTTAATCACACACAAAAACCACTATGTATAATGTACATATATATATATATATATATTATACATATAGGTATGTATTATGTTTTTTCGATATCACTATTGTACTTTTACGATCGTATAATAAGTATTGTATAGTAAACACCGTCGACTTCGTTGAATTGTCCTGGTGAAAATATTATTGATCGTAATAAAGTGCACCGATTTTTATTAACGTTTCTGTGACGAATGCGTCCATAAAAGTAGTTTGGTATCGATATAGATATTATAATCATATAGATAATATATTATGCATTTATTACATTGTAGTGAGCACTGCGCATGTCTATAGAATGAAAATTCACATGGTTATTATAGGTACTTATAATAATATAAATGGTATAYGAGTATTATTAAAGGTAGTAGGTATCTATACCAATAATAATAGTTTTCAATTTAACATTTAYATTATATACTGCGAGCCGTTACACCGTTAAGTATATAATCTTCCGGCTTTCTTTTTTCATTTACGTCGATCGTGATAATGAGAAAACTGACATTTATATGTATCTTATTGCTTTAATTATATGTAGGTTTATTACTGTGTATTGTTGTTATTTACGATAGTGATTTAATGAGAATGGGATAGATGTTCATTTTAAATTCAAGTATACATATATAGCGGTAGAATTGACRGCGAACAATGATATAATAATTAATATACTAATACTAACATAATAAATTACAATGACTAATGTTATGATTTTCCATTTGACCATTTCTTAATTATGAACATGTTTTTGAAGTTAAAACAACAAATTGGAGACGGATCCAACGAATACTTAAAAGCCAAAATGTCGTTAAGATTGATATTCGTCTTCATGTATTTACGTACAAAATATGTCTAGAATTAAAAAAGTAAAATATCATAATTGTAAATCATAAAATGTATCATTGTAATTATGTTTATTACTATTAGTTTTTTTTTTTTTTAAATATTTTTTAAACATTTTTCTACTTATTTTAATAGAATATATTCTGTTGCTAATGGCAAACATTTAAATAAAGAAGACATTCGACTTCGGAGATCAAACACTAAATTCATGTGTGAGTAACCAAACATATTTTAAACTCAAAGTATCAATTGCAGGGCTAAATATATTGAAAAGCTGTTTTCAGAAGTACTTAATTTCAGAACCATGTATATTATGATAAAGTCTTGGCTGTGGATCGCTTATGGTGCTTCTACACATACGATCATTATATTTTATTAATAAAAAAGATTGTAGGTTAAGGTTACCTTTACGGCTACATAGTACTTATATCTTATCCCAATAATATTTACACTGTGTATTAGATCAATATGTTGAACGTAGTATTACACTTTTTTGTGATTATGATTTATGATTTACATTTAAAACAAGTACCTATGGTTTTACTTAATTAGAATATCAAACTATAATCCGATATTTAATCTTAATAAATGAAGTACAGTAAAAAATTATATCATCAAGAATGGTTAATGAAGAATGAGTAATGACATATCGCAATATGTTATATATATATATATATAAATTATACATTTTGTTTTAAAGTGAGGGGAGTGAATTTTTTATAATTGGCCCGCGTGCAAAATATAACATAACGAGACGGCTATGCATATATAGATAGTCGGTACGTATAATTATATAGTTTCTTACAACTCTATAGTCTTATACATGTTGTTCACATTTATTCACTACTGTGATTATAATTTAAATAACGATTGAAAAGTAAATAAATGTAGTTTATTCAATGATTATGGCGCGATTATTCCTCATTTCATATTTTTTGAAGAAATAGAAGAATTTTGGATGGCATATGCATATCAAGATCGTGATAACCGAATTCACTGCAGTGAATGTGTTTTGACACACAAAATGTCAACCATATACCTAGTTTATTCTTTTTTTTATTTAATAATATTAATTGGTTCCTCTAATTAAAATAAAACTCAAACGTTAGTAAATATGTATATGAATTATAATTATAAATATCATTATGCATAAGATATAAAAAATTGCATGTTGCCTTGTTCAATAATTAATAAATGAATTTTGAAAACGAAGCAATAATATTATCGTATACCTATTATAATAGTGTGCTGCAGTATCCTTCTCTGTCTTTCCAAAATGCTAATTGTTGAAAACAGTCTTTTGTCTCATCACTTGGAATTAAAATAATTAATTCAATAATGCCGATTATGTAGTGTGTGCGTTATCACGTGAATATTAATATGGCCCAATGTATGTATATTGTATATTTTATAGAATTGGCTATCTGAGTAACAGAATAAATATGATTTTTGGAGAACATCAAACRAATAAGATATGATTCCACAATAATGGTAACCATGATGTTTAATCAACATTTACCCTTATACTATACAATAAACATAATGATTATTATTTGGCTTTGAGTAATATTTGTCGTTTCAAGGATCAGAAAAGAGGCAA